TGAGGCGTGGTCCAGACAGAGGAGCTGGTGCTTCTCCTCGCCCAGACAGACTGCGACCTCAACAGGTGCTCCCGGAGGGTTCGTGGTTGAGGCGTGTGCGTGTCATGAATTTCAAACACGGAAACATGCGGGGTTTACCAGTCATCGAGCTTTTAGTCTTCAGGGGAAACCATTCTGAATTGGAAGATGAACTGGCAGTGTTGGGAGCTCGTGCCTTGATCGACCGGCAAGGGTTCAGTTCAGTGTATAACCATCGTTCTCGGTCTCGAAGCGCTCACAAAGTTCAAGGATCGTCGGGCTTTCATGTTTCCGGACGCAACGAGTCAGTTTTGGGTGGTAGCGATAGAAGCTCCGACTCTGCCCTCCCAATGCACCCATGGTTGTTGGGGCTCTGTGGTATCAGGACTAGGGGGCGAGAGCACTCTGACGACCTGTTGTATGGTCCGAGATTTGTTGCAGACTTCGCAGGTGCGTTGCACCGCGGTCTAGTATGCACGAGGCATGGTAGATTGTAGTGGGGAAGCAGATTTGCAGAGCTGCAGCGCTGTGTGTTCTGTGGCAAAGGATGAGTCATGCAAATGATTAAGCCCCAAAGGAGAGGGGAATGGACCCCAAGCTGGTATACTATAATAAAATGTAACAAAAGAGAAGAAAACTCAGTATAACATAATAGAGTATAAATTGTGTATATAGCCCTGAGGAGTGAAACGAAGAGGGGGGGGGCCCAGAGCCCTATTGAAAGCTTTGAAAGCAGACTAAGCCGCGCATGGTTGCACTGCACGGTAGACTCGGCGGATTCCATCTCCAAGCCGCTATAACCCAGTCTTGCAACATTGCATGGAGATGCCACCAAAGGTGCTGCCCTGCGGAAGCTTGAGAGACTCCCTAGAAGGCGAAAAGGCGAAAAGGCTAAAGGGCTAAAAGGCTAAACGGTTCAAAACACGCTGGGCAGGAATCAAATCGATGCCCTGGTGGAGGCAGTCGACACGAAGGCCGGGGGCTTGCTCCCGATGCGTTAGACTTTTCGGCCCTGGGTTTGCCAGCTTCTGACTCGAAAGACTCGAGGCCCACAGGGGGGAGGGGAGGATCCCGAAAGCTTAGGTCCAGAGCTGTTCGACAAAGTACAAAAGTACCCGGGAAGGTTGCTTTGAAGTACCCTGAATTCAAGACCCTAAGTCCCTAAACACCATGGATGCCAGGCTGATGGCATCACTTTCAAGACCTTCTGCGCCTTCCTGGAGCAAAGCGACCTCGATGCGCACGCGGTGCTGCGCGCGCTCGAGGGCTGAGTGCCCTTGGAGTGCCCCTCTTTCAGTGCCCTGGCAGGGTTTGGGGCAGTGCCTGGGTTCCGCAGAAAAGCGAGACACACCCATGGTTCAAGGTCCAAGGGTGTCAGTGTGGGGTTTCCAATCTGGGGGTTTGGGGTTCCGGGTGTTCCGGGGGTGTTTTTGGGAAATCCATCGGCGGCAACATTGAGGGGGATGCCTAGCCTTCAGCCCCAAATGTGCAAAGCCAGACAATCTCAAGACCCTCAAATCCGCCCCAGGCCTCTCAAAGACTCAAAGCTTCTCCAGGTCCGCAGCTGTATCTCAGGCTCCCAAACAACTCACAAACTCCCACAGCAGCAAGCCCCGGATCCCATATTTGCGGATGCGAGGCCCTTCTGAATCGCGGAGCCTTCCGCCACTCGGGTAACCAGAAGGGCCCACAGAGTCGGCTGTGTCTGATCTGGAAGGGCCCCCGGGTGTAAACGATCCAGAATCCACAGCATGGTTGTCGTGGTGCGCCGATTGACGGCACTAGCCTTCTTGTGGTTGCTGATGGCAGTCTATGTCTATGCGTTTTCAGGAGGCATCGATGTGGAGTCTGGCGAAGGTCCGGCAAAACTCGGGGCCTCGCAATCTCCACGAACCCTTGCATCCTAAACCTGCCCTAAACCCTAAACCCTAAACCCTAAACCCTAAACCCTGAACCCTAAACCCCAAACCCTAAACCCTAAACCCTGGGGGTGGTGCAAGGGGTCCCAGTGTTTGGAATCCCCTCTGCGATCCTCTGTATATGCGAAAGCTCACGGCCGCTGAGAGGGTGTTCTCACAACCCCCCTTATTCTGTCGGTCCCGGCCAGAACCCTGGAAAGCTTCTGAGTCATTCAGCCCGTGAACTTTATCTCCCATGGTGCTGTCAGGCCTCCGGCACAAGCCAGGCTGTCTAAAACACCGCCATGTGTTTCGTCTCCCAGAGTTGGTATGAGGGCTCGTGGCAAGCATTACCAGACCGGAGTCGAGCCCTGTCGCTAGAACTCCTTCACTGTCCGACACTCTAAGCAAGAGTTGGCAGAGCCTTCAGCTCCGACCGATGGACGACGAATTATCTCTTGCGCTCCCTAAAGGGAATCCGGCCGCGTCGTCTTGTTGGCGGGCTGCTCCAACAAGCCACATGCACAGCACTTCTGAGCATCTCCTGAAAAAAAAATTCAGCATGGGTCCAGCCCAAAGTTTATCAAAGCCTCAAGCATCCCCAAACCGACACCCAACGCCCACACCCCATATGCAGCCTGCCAATTTTCATCACCAAAAGGGCCCCGCCCCAAGGACGGACCCTTTTGGTTTGTTGTTCCCAACGCCCGAGGAGCTCGAGGAGATCTCATGCCACAGACATCTTAAATGGCGACGAGGGAAAAGGTTTGCCGGGCCGCTTTGCGGGCCGGGTGTCGCACCCCGACCTGCTTAATCCCGATCACCTCCCAGCAGCCTGCACAGACGCCTACGCAGAGTCATGCAGAGTCTCATAGTGATGGTCCACAGCCTTTGCAGGAGTTGGGATCTCGTCTAGACGTCCGAAGCACCACAAGTCTTCCGTGTACCGAGTACGTGCGGACGGACCGTGACCCCGAGATCGCATAGCATGCCCACAAGTCTGGTTGTTGTCCGAACCCATCTGGCATGAAAAATTGACAACGGGAGCATTTCACGTGTTAGAATTGAGTCGTTTGATTTGTTCTAAGCCCCTGCCACGCTCTGCAAGCGCCATGGCCATGGCATTGCGTTCATTGGCGCTGGCGTGGCTCTTGGACGCAGCCCTGGGGGGAAGCGGCTGCAACGAGCAGGTCAAGGCAGGTTCAAGATTTTCGGGTTTAAGATTGGCGAATGCACTAATGTTCAAGCCTAAAGAGCCTCAGGAGGGGAAAAGGGGTGGAGGGGGGCAGAGGGGGAGGGAGTGGAAAACATTGCAAAGAGCCTGACAGGCGCGCACCCCTGAACTGCAAGGGCCTTCTGTTAGTCCGGGAGCCAAAATTTCTCAGACCTGTCAGCCTCGACTGACCTGGAGGATTTGGGACCCTGGATCGGCTCCGTCGATGTGGAGAAGACCGAGGATTTGCCATGTGCATTTGTGTGTTGTCTTGCTTAGAGGGTCATGACTGGCTTTTTTTCGAAGGTGCCAGGGGTCAGGTTGGGCTGAGCAAGTCAACATCAACTTCCGGACTTCCCCGAAGAACAACCACCTGAGCAACTCTGCACAGGCAGTCTTAGGCCCGACACATGGTTAATGGCTCGGATTCTAGACGCCTCCATCCGAATCTCACATTTTGGAGCCCTTACCCACCCACTTTGCCTTGAGCCCTGAACCCAACATTCATGGTCCCGAGGAGGGCTACAGGGTCTTGTTGGAGCTTCTGGGCGGCGACGTGGCCGCCTCCTCCACTGAGTCCGTGGAACTGTTGGTTGGGCGCGAGGTGGGCTGGCTTTGGGAGGGGGGCTTCGAGTTAGGACGGGGGCTTTGTTTTTTTTTTTTTTGCTTGGCTTTGAGGTTTTGGAGACCACACAACAAATCCTCAAGTTGCAAGCCCCTTGTCCTCCAGGTGGGGCAGACAAAGCACTTCGTCCTGCCAAAGGCAGGTGCCCGAAAGGGTGGGGTCCTGGAGCTCCGTGCCCTGGTGCGACCAGAAAGCTGGGACACTTAAGTTTTTGCTGCAAGGCACTCTAGGGCACCGCGCTGTAGGCTCTTAAGGGAGTTTTGCGATGTTCTACAGTTTGAGCTGTTTGAGCAGGGCAACAAAGGAACTGACGAGGAGCTACTGGGTGGAGTGGGAGACAGCTTCTTCATGCAGGCCACGCTGGCGGAGTACAACGGGAACAATCATGGCCCCGAAAGCCTGTCCTGCCGGGCAGGGGTGCTGAGACACAGCACGTGCCGCCGCACAGAGAAGGACGTAGCTTCACCTCCCTCATCGCTGGGAACCCCAGGTACTACCGGGCCACGCCCGGATCACCAACCCGGTCAGGGCGGGCACATGATGAGAGGTGCTGGTGCAGGTATGCACGAAGGTGGGCAGCACATGCGCAGCGCTACCCACAACATGCCGCACCAAGGCGTGCCGCACCAAGGCATGCCGCACCAAGAGGGCATGAGACACCAAGAGGCCAGTCAGCAGGCCATGGTGCAGCAGCCACCGGAGGCCCTGGACGAGTGCCATCCAAGCTCCAACCCTTGCAAAGGGGGCAGTGCTTGCCAGGCGCATCTCTGAAGCGTTGAAGCGTTTTTTCTAGTACTGGTACGTGTCACTCTTCGTAACAGTATGTTCTAGGATGTGGTGTGTTGTAGGGTGGCGTAGATACAGTTCGGCTGTTGCCAGGGAGGCCCTGGCTGTAGCGAGACTGGTGCGTCGGAACGGAAGACCACTAGACCACCCGGTGAGTATCCCGCGCTCCTCCAAGCCACAGTTTGGGGTCCTTGTGAGTGATTCGACCAGCCTCCATTCCAGTTCTTCAATCCTTGGCCTTACCTGGAAAACACCGGCTGCCCCCAGGTGTCCAGACAGGGCAACTACCTCTGCGTCAAGGCCGGCTTTAGGGTTTAGGGTTTTAGGACCAAGCCAATGAACAGCCAGGAAGCGGTAGAAGCCCAAAGGCCACGGCCCTAACGTCCTTGAGCCGAGACCTGCTTGGCGAGGCCGAGCCTCAGACCAGCCTCCGCAGTTTCGCGGATCCCTCCACTGGCCACGGACGCCCGGCTGACGTCGTGTGATTTTTTTGAGATCTGCTGCCACGACGTGCACGAACTTTCGGGCGTTCAGCGTCAAGAACTCAATAGTTTTGGGATGTGAAATCCTGTAGCCACTCAAGAAATCTCAGACACCTCCCCCTCCCAGAAACATGTGAGCATTCAAACCATCTCGTGAAGCATCGTAGACTTGTAGATGCATTCTGCTGAAAGCTGCTCTCGAGGCTTTAGGATGCTGGTGGCCGGGGCACTCTTCGTGGCCCGCCGAAAAGTTCTGTGAAAGATCCGGAGAAAGGGGCGTAAAGAGGCTTCTTTGGGGTCTTTTTTTCTGCCGCGTTTCAGTGGTTTCCAACAAGCGGGTCCAGAACCTCAACCTCTCACGAGGTTAAGGGCGGTTTTTTGCTCCCAGTTCCGTGCGAGGCCTTCGCGGTTGGAGGTTTTGGGATGTCGGTGTTGATCTTCGACAGATGCGTTCCCAGGGTCTCCACATGACAGGAAGGCCTGTATAGTCTTAAACCCGAGAGGCCGCAGACCAAATCCCTAAGCCCTAAACCCTAAACCCTAAACCCTAAACCATGAAAGGTCTGCCTGTCCTGCCTCTGCGGAGCTCTCTTCCTGCATCGCTTTGTCGCACCTCGTGGCGCGCGGAACATGGAGTCCATGCCCAAGGCAAGGCACGCAACACGTCACTGTAGGGCTCCCCTAGTCGACTGCAAGCATAAGCAGGTGAAGTGTGGCTCCTCCGACTAAGGGGTTGGGAAAGAGTGCGAGAAGTGGATGTGTTCGTAATTGCGGTATGCTTTGAGCGTGATGGCGAACGTGATGACCTGCAGTGTGCTTGAAGGAAAAAAACAATGCGTGTTCTTAATCTTCCGCCTGCAAAGATCTCGGCTAATCATCTGCGCAGATTGTCTGCTTCGGCACATGGTTCCTTTCTTGCTGAGTGTCGGCAGTATCGGCTGCTGCTCACTCTGTGCCCGCTGCTTCTCCTGGCCCCTCACCCCACCCGAAGTTCCATTCGAGGGAGCGGGGGTCAGCCGCAACCGCAAATTAGCCGCGAGTACACCGCCACACCTACTGCGCCCCAAGAGAGGGACGACCACAAGCCAGACCAAACTCCAACACACACCTGCCAGGTCATGGGGAAGGTGGTGGATGGCAACCTCTCTACCGTTCCTTGGGCACAACAGAGGTCTCACTCCCTGAGGGTCCGCCACGGGCGCTCTTAAAACTTCCTTGGCATTCGGAACCTAGGCCAGCTTTAGTCTCTGAGTCCAACCCCCAGCATGCATCACAAACCCTTATTGAAGCCGGACGCAACTGGGTGAGTCCCTAAACCCTAAACCCTAAACCCTAAACCCTAGACCCTAGACCCTAGACCCTAGACCCTAGACCCTAAACCCTAAACCCTAAACCCTAAACCCTAAACCCTAAACCTAAACCCTAAACCGTCGGGGTTCCCGAAGGTCCAGACCATGACCCGAAGCCGGGCCTTTGAAAACGATTCCGACAGCGATCCGGAGCCTGCAGTCGGTGCAATGGTCAAGTCTCGCATTCGAGGTTTAGGGTTTAGGGTTTAGGGTTTGGGGTTTAGGGTTTGGGGGTTTGGGGGTTGAGGGGTTGAGGGGTTGAGGGGTTTAGGGGTTTAGGGGTTTAGGGGTTTAGGGGTTTAAGGGTTCAGGGTTTAGGGTTGACCTGGATGTCGTGGGATTGTTTTTGAACTCGATTGAGCCAAGCCCCCTTTTTGCACCACACACAGGTAGTTCGGGCAGTGTCAAGCTGTTGGATTTGCTTTTGAGGGTGAGCCCCGCCGAAAGAAAAGCATCAACTCCATCCTAAGCCAAGGACGATGGCCTGAGAGTCTGGTGAGCCCCGTGCATTCGCCTCAGTCCTTAAGCCCCACTCCATCGCATCGGACGCATTTTCCTTACTTGCAACGAGATCTGAGTTGCTCTTAAACTCCAAGGCAAGTTGAAGCCAGGCCAAAAGGGACTTCAGCACCTTGCAGTGAACCCCAAACTCCTCAGACCCCAAAACTCCAAGTGCCTTGAAGCTTCCTGAGCACCCCTTTCAGGGTTGTCCATATGAGTCCATGAGCTTGGTGGGAAGTGCATGCCTCTTGTGGATGATGTGTTAAGGATTATAAACGGCTGAGGGACGTGACTAACCCGCTAACCGTACCCTGAGAGATGGAGCAGGTGATGAAGGAGTTTAGGGCTGTCAGCAGATGAGCTTCCATATTCCTCGACACCAGCACTGGCTTGATGGCATCTTTGTTGACTCCGTTTTGCTTGGACCGAGCTAGCTACGACGATGTTACCTGGCAGATTTCGGGCCTACGTATCAGATAGCTTCAGTGTTTCATCCACTAGCGCTGCTTCGTTGAAATAGTTGTTCGGTCTTGATTCCCAGGCCCGACTGGGTTTATATTCAGCGTAGGTTGGGCTGTTGGCTTGCTGTTTCAAGCAAGAGGCTAGTATTTGAGCTCAGTGGTCGTGCAGCAGCTAGTGTGCTCTAGTCCACTGGTTGATGTCGCCAAGCCTGGCAGCTGGTACAGATGTTGGAAGTTCACCATGGCCTCTTTTCTGGTTTTTGACCAGGTCTGAGCGCACTGTTCACAAAAAGAATGCGATGTGCTGAGCTGAAAACACCTGAAGACCAAACTAAACCACGAAAGCACACTTCCCTCACAGTTCATCGTTCCGGCTTTTTTGAAGCCGCCTGCAGTGAAGGTGCCTTGCCTGTTCTTGCTTCCGCTGAGCGGATCGCGCGCGCAGTTGTCACAGAGTCTTACAGCCTCGTCTGCTGTGGTTGCGGGCTACAAGTGCCCAGCCACGCAGTGCCTGGAGATCCCAGGCGTGTCTCAGTGCTACTCACACCTTCCAAATGCTGGTCATGTCTTGTTGCATCAGCGCCCAATGTTGACAAGCTGAACGGGAGACATGCTTCGAACCTTTCAGCCAAGACCAATCTACCATTGCACTCGGACGCTGAGCCCCCCCTGCCGACTCTACCCGTCAGGTATGTGCAGATTGAAAAAAGGGTTGGGGGCCAGGAACTCATGTGAGACCTCTCAAATCCACAGCGACTTATTCAAAGGCTATAGACCAGACGTGGCGAATTAGGCCTCTTATGAGGCCTAGACCAGGCGCTAGGCCCTATGAAACCTCGTGTAGATCCCACGCAAAGGCCTAGCTCAAAATAAGGTACCCCTGAATTTCGGAAACCCCCCCGGGTGATGAAGCCGTCAAGCCCCCCTTGCAGCTTTCACCAGGCGGCGCGTGGGTGAGGATGCTGCAGCGGCGGTGGAGGGCTCAGGGATGTTTAGGGCACGCGTAGGGCAGGTGTTGAGTTCCGAAATGTCCATCCACATCCATCTTGCAAGTAGGGCAAACTTAGGAAAGTGAGCAAGCTGTCGGTAGCTCATCTCGCCTTCCAAGCCGACACTGGATGCTCTTCGAGCAAAAAGGCCATCTCTCCTTCTGAAGTCCTGAAGTCCGACTGGTTCATCCCGAACCAGGTCACATTCTGAACCTTTGTGAGCATGGCACAAAACGAGGGCCGAGTCAAGCACATGGCTTCCTCAGGTCGTCCACCCCAATTTGCAAGGCGCTGGCGTCCCATGTGTGAGGGGTGCACCGGGCTTTCGGGTTTCAGTGGCATGGAGCGCGGACCGCCAGGATCCGCCATGTAGTCGTCTGCCAGGTGGGGGGTTTCTGAACATCGTCCCTTGACCTATTTAAGCTGTCAGGGCGGCGGTAAGCCATGTAAAGCCCTGCACAATCGCCAAGCCTAAGCCTCCCCAAGCTTCTCAAGAGACCCTCTCATGGCCCCTTTGGCGCCCTTGTGAAGGCTAAGCCTCTCAGGGTGCTAAGGCAGAATGTGGGTGAGAGAGAGACCCACGAGGCTGAGTTGTTCTTCGACGGTTGGCCTAGCCTTCCTTTCAGGAATTGGGTATCTTGGGGCTGACAGGTGGTGGCTGATACTTGGTCATGTGGGTGTCGGCGAGCCTTCTAAAGTCTGGGTCCCACAGTCCAGACTCCGCTCTGAACCCCGAGCGAATGCCTTGTTTTGGGGGCATTCTATCCGTGGGAGCTTTCTGCTCGATGCTGCCAGGCAGCGGTCCCTAAGTGTGACATCATCCTAAGTCAGTAGAACAGTAGAACTCTTACTCTCTGGGACTCTATGAGCTACATCACGCAGTACTGCAGCAAGCCTCACACCTCACCCCAGCACTTCCTTGCAGCGCTCACTTCCAAAGGCCGGAGGGCGGCACAAGCAACGTGCCGGAGTGTGCAAGGGGAAAAAAGGGGGTATGGATGGGTATGGCCATTGCATCAGCTTTTCAGGCACTGGGGGGTCAGTACATTATCTGCTAGTCAGAACACATGTGGCACTGAGGAATTTCAGATGGGCTCCGTCCCAGTAATAGTTGTAACGCCTCACGGCAACGTATGTCTCCCTCGCGGATCCACGCCCTTGTGCGACTTCTGCCTCCCTGTTCCAGCCCGATTCCGGAAGGAGACAGCATCATAGCGGCAGCCTACGGAGCGCCTTAACACCTGGACCTTTCTCCCTCGATCAGCAAAGCCCTCAACCGGCGCCGCGTTTTGGCTCGAGTTTCCGTTCCAGGCTTTGGGCCCATCGAGAGGGCTTGGAGAGCCGAAAGGTTTTCTGTTTTCGCTTTAAACATACGCCTGAGTCACTTGAAGGCCGTGTCACCGGCTTCCCCGCAGAGTTCCGACCATTCTCTGAGTTGGCATGTAGATGCAGGTTACAAGGCGAGCAGCAGGCTTAGCACATCGGGGAGCTTACAGGCTTGTCCCCCCCGCCCAGCACGATTGCCAGCTTCTGACTAGAGGCAGGACCCTGGGATGTTGAAACGTCGAGTTGTCATGTCCTGTCATGTCTTGTCCTTCCCCTTTTGACTCGTCTTGCACGTGCTTCACAGCATCGCTAGATACAGAAACTACAGGTCTCCCATTCTAGGGTTCAGCATGGTTCAGCAGCGGCATTGCGTGTGCCCTTCGATTCGGCCTGGTGAGTGTTGTGCCGAGCACCCTTGCCCGCAGCAGGTGGAGGCTGCGATCTTCCGGACCTAGGGGGACGAGGCGCGGCAATCGATTGTGACTAAAAGGCCTGTGTGACTTTCAAGTCGCCAGTCCCGGTTGAAGCTGCCACACTTGACTTTAAGGAGGCGGCGCCCGCTTCTTGTAAGAGGGTTGAGCACCACAGGTTGTCTGCGCAGTTGGTCACTAGCTTGGTCCGGGCTGGAATCTGGTGCAGGCCCTGCAGAAGGCTACCTTTTGCTGACTTCCTCTCTTGTCTGCCTCCTTACCCAGACAATGCATGGCAGCTTTTTTCGTGCTGTGCTTCAGGGGTTGGCCATCAGGGTGTGGTCTCCCTTTTAGGGTCCGAGCTCTAAGCATCATGGGCGTTTTTAGCGGCTGTTTCGGGCTGAAGAACAGAAAGCCACGAGCTCTCCTGTACGCTCATCTTTTGATCTCTGGCAGGGATATCGAAGACAATTCAAAGCTCCGAGCTGATCCACTTTTTCAACCCCACCAGCTCTGCTGCTTGGTACATGTTTGAGACACGCAGCAAAGATCAATAGCTGTGACTGTCTTGAATGCCCTATCAGAGAGCCCTGCAGCTCTGATCCTAGCTTGTACTCACCTGGACACCCCTAACACCAACAGCATATGCCGGCGCCGACCCCAAACGCAAGAAAAGACCAGCGACGATGGCAC